GTACAAACCATATTAAGTTTACTTGGGCCATCTTGGGCCATAACCAGGATTGGATTGAGCCGTGAGTTTCCCAACCCAACGCCTGTATCGCCACCGGCCATGGCCGCCACAGGCGTGGCCCGCGTCTGGACCGGCGCACGCCGGATGGTGGCCGTGGCTGCGGGTTTGCCCGGCGCCGTCCTGTGAGGATGGAAGATTACTGAAAAGATGCTGTCCTGTGAGACCACCCAAAAAGATGCTGAAAAAGTGTTAGGATGTTAGGTGGATGATATTTAACATTTACCTCATATTTCCAGGTTCCCTACTTGTCCATCTATTTCAGGGGTTGCTATGGACAAGAAATAAAACACAACCTGTGGTTCTATTGTTCGCGCGCGGCGATCAGACTGCCTTGGTTGAAACACAGCCAACGTTCTCTAAGGTCCTCAGGGTCCCAAGGGCATCCCCAAGGGCTCAAGACGTTGCCGTCACAGCAGTGCAGGAGCTCCCTGCAGTTGCCAAGTTGTACGAGAGTCTCAAGAGACGTTTGCCTCACTGCGGAACGCTGTGACATGACGGGCGCAAGGACTTTGATGGACGTGCAGTCGCCAAACAAGCAACAATTTTGCTGGCCCAACGCCAAGAGCACGTTGAGCTCCTCCTTGCAGGCCTTATCCCACTTGAAGACAAACATTGTTGCTGCTGCACCTATCTTCTTTTATCAAGATTTAGTTGACTTTGATATTCTATCAAACCTGAACATTGTTAAGTTTGGATGATTTGATGATTTGATTTTTTGTCAAGAAGTCAACTAAAGATAATCAAACAATCCAAACCAAAATAATTTGCAAAAACAAAGAGAAAAACCAAATTGAATCAGCTGAGACCCCTTATGGATCCAGCCAAAGCCAGAGAAATATCGTTGAAATGCGTGGAAATCCCGATCGCAATGTCAAGCTAGGATCAATAAACCCAAAGAACCGCAATCATAAAATGGTAACCCCCACAGCCCTCGCATCTTTACACTGGGGATTTGTTGATGGATTACCATCACTCTGGTGAACATCAAACTTGATGGTAAGTGGATGTTGTTTGCTACCCAAAACATCGATAAATGCCTAAATTGCGGCACGAATTATCAAACACGTAAGTATGTGGATAAGTAAATGTTACCCTATATGCACTTACAAAATATTCATGCAATTAGGTCATTGATGTTACCATACCACCAAACAAATGTTTATTGGTACGTGTACCTAAGAAATTATCCCAAATTATCCCAAATACAGCGCTATATGCCTAACTGGATGTTTGCGGTTTTGGGTTTTAACACTGCATTGACTCCTGGTTTAGGAATAAGCACTATTACTAAAGTCAAACAATTACTAATAGTAATGAAACAATATCAGAAATCTCTAATACTTAGTACTTAGTAATACCGACTATTAGTAATTAACACTATTATCAATTTTCAAAATCAATTGTCACTACACGGGGGACCTCCCAAAGGGGTCAACTGCTGCTGGATTGTCACAATTGATGCTGAAAATTGATACTTAATAATTACTATCATTGCCATTTGGGGATTTCCATTCATAAATTTGATGGAAATAGTACATGATTCTATATTAATTCCATTCATTGTCCTATTGATAAATATGATTATTTCAATTATTTCCATTTTTTTGGGGATTGTCATACTTCTTCCTATCCCATCTATCCCGCATCTGCATTGCATCTGCGCCAGTCCTGTTTTGCGTCACCGCCCGCAGCCTCTCCGCCGCGGCCGCCAGGGAGGCCCGGTCTCCGCCTTTGCCCCGCGGCCACGGCGCTCCGCGGCCGTTACGGGCCTGAAGCGGCGGGATCCCAATCAGATTTCAACCGAAAATATGTCATCTTTGGAGGTAACCGGAAAAACCAACAATAACAGGGATGATTATACACGAACAAACAAAAATAAAATGATAAGCTTCGGTGGTATCCCCAACAGCCGCAGCGTTTTATTTTTACAAATCTTTCTGAAGCATGCTGCAAAGCCAAACGCTAGAAACACCTCAGCTGGGTTTCCTTGGGTTAAATGGCCGCCCTGCCCCCCCTTCGGCATCAATATGACAAATTTCATGAAATATTGTTATAGCAAAATGTGTGCGTGTGCAATATGTGCAACTCAAGTACAATTACAAAACCAAAGGTTACACAGCGCAACAATGTTGGAAACAGTCAAGCTCTCGATCACGGAATGGTGTTTGTTGTTGCATTCATGAAATGTGAAAGAATATACAGCACATCCTCTTTTGAGAATTGAGTGCAACACGGTCGTCATACGGAAAAACAAAATGAAGCTCCAGAGGTCTGCACACGCATTCATTGAAGAGAAGCAAACTAGAAATCACATGTCGGCATTTCTTTTGCTTATTGTCCTACACAAATAGTATTGACTTCAAGAGTTTGCGTTCATCATTTGCACTCTCATGGTGGGACAGTAAACCAAAAAAACAAGATAGAAGCCACGAACCCGAAT